AAAGAAAAAAAAAAAAACTGCCAAAACCCTGTCGCAAACTAACCTGCTCCGGCTCAAAAGATACTACAATAAGAAAGAAACTTATGTTACTACATTCTTTCACACTGTGCTTTTTCCTAGATGTAGATATCCCATTGTTGCTGCAAAATAAATTAATAAAAAAGCAATAAGTAACGATTCAACATAAAAAAATTGTTTTCGCATTTATTTTGAAAAACTGTTTTAAACTAACCTTTATTACGCTGAAAAGTCTTGTTGCCAGATACTTCTGTTCGGCGCTAGCTCCATGTTGTTTGTCTGGATGTAAAGCAAGCAGTGCTTTACGTTTTGCTAAACCTATCTCATGGTCATTGTTTACCACAATGAAGTGATGAACAGTCTCCCATGAACTATTGGACCAAATAATCTGTAATGTATAATAAATTTCGTTAGTTTTTGTAGTTATGAGAAAAATAACAAATTATTATAAGATTACCTGGTGAAGTGATGACATCATAAAAATGAAGTTCTTGTTTTTAGCCCAGAGTATGACCCTATCATCAATTTCCTTCTGTTGTATCTCACTTAGTTTTCGATCTTGGACAGTAAATGACACCATGAAAATATTAGATGTTCCATTTTATTATTAAAAAAAACATCATTTTTAACAAAAAAAAATAATGGTGTACCTGAATGTTCCTTCTTTAGCCGAGCTTCTTCTTCCTAGAGAAATAAATTAGCAAAACACAGAAGACCATGAAAACGTCTTATTATAATCATTTAAATACGTACTAAAACCTTGTAAAAAACGTTGTAAAATAATTTTGTAAATTATTATGATTTAACTAATGCATACCTTATCATTCACTTTCGATTGTTGTGAATCACTCTCTTGTGACGGCTCCTCTGAGTGTCCCATCTTGTTATGTTGTGCCTCCTTTGTTTGAGCAACCTATAAATAAGTTGTAGAAACATTTGTCAACCTATAAATAAGTTGTAAAATCCTTTAAAAAATGTTGTAAACATTACAAAAAACTTTTTTCATTAATGCATACCTTATCATTCACATTTGATCGTTGTGAATCACTTTCTTGAGTTCCCTGTGGAGCCCCATCCATGTTTCTCATCTCTTCATGTTGTTTCTCCTTTTTTTGAGAAACCTATAAATAGTTTAAAATAGGTTGTAAATTTTTTATAGAAACTTTTAAATAAGTTGTAAAATCCTTTAAAAACGTTGTAAATCTCTTCTAAAGCATACCTTATCATTGACATTCGAGCATTGTGGATCGTTTTCTTCATTAGCATGTGGAACCTCATCCGTGGCTCCCTCTTCTTGAGCAACCTATAAATTTAAAAGACATTTTAAATCACTAAAGATATTCTTTATAAAAACCAATCAGATTCATTTAGTTACATACCTTTTCATCATTCACATTTTCGTGTGAATCTTCATCAGGTGGACTGCATGATTCTTCTCTGGTCTCTGTTTGTTTGTTTTCTTGATTGTTGATTGGTATTTCAACCTCTTCTTCATCATCAGAGACAATTATAAACTCTTCTTCAGTCTTTTTGTTCTGTTGTAACACCAAAAATATATTTAAACATAATCAAATTTGACCATCCTATAGATCAAAGATATATTTAAAAAGATATCGTTTTGTTTCCACTTACAACTCCACTTGACGAAGCTGGGAATTCCTTTTCTTCATCATCCCTGGCATCAGGTTCTTTGATCCCTAAATGTTTCTCCACCACCAACATTCTCTTGTTCAATTCTAAACATGCCTTGTAGATCAATTCTAGTGTTTCACTATCAGACATTGATTTCCTTGGTTTTGTCTGATTTACAGTCTCAGACTTTGGTTGCCTTTGTCTAGGCTGATTCACAGGCTTTTGCGTTTTCCATTCTGCAACCTCAATCCAACCATGAATCCATTGTTGCCTGGTCATCCTATAACCTTGGACTACAAGGTCAAAGACTTCAAACCAGTCCTTGTCTTCTGGATTTGGGGGGAGAACCAAATGAGAATATTGTTCAGGATCGCCAATGATATGTTTAATATCAAACTGCATAAAAAAGAATATGAATTTAAGTTAGAAATGTGAACCACAATTATTTCATAAAGCATTTACTATCTATTTTAAAGGTTTTACAATCTGTATTAAAGCTTGTAAAAACTTTTAAAATGTCTTGTAAAACCTTTAAAAATGTCTTGTAAAAATCTTGCCATTTTTTTAAAACCCTTGTAAACTTCTTAAAATTCTTGTATAACAAAGTAAAACAATTGTAAACCTTATTAGTTGGAAAAAAGTAGTAGAGAAAAACTGTCATACCGTTGCAACCTTTGTAACTTTTGCTATATCTTTCTTAGTTGGGCATTTTGTTGTCATCCATTGCGAAATCAGTGGACGATTGTCGTTGGGTTCTAGGACCCGACTGCCAAAATTCTGTCCCAACTCTGCAACTGCGGTTAAAGCCCAAATCTGGATTGCAAAAACAAACCCAGGAAGCCCACATTGGTTTCTAAACAATTGAGTCGGAGTTATCTTCTTCAAGCAATCCACCAAAGACCCGTAAACAATGCGAGCCCACGGATACTTGCAGAACTCTGTGAAACTACTAGCTCTTACCAGATGTTCTTTCTCTATATTGTTTACAGGGTTTGAAGCAATTAAGATGCCCTCCACTAGAATCAGAGCACCTAACCTAACCCTCTCATCAGCATCCATCGCATTGCGTTTTGTAGACAAGGTATTAAGGAGATCTTTCAAACTTAAACCATCCTTCATCCATGTATCTTCTTTCTTTCTCTTTTTTCGTATTGACTGGCTTTGTGATGCATCATCACCCAAAGGCAGCCCTGTAGTAATAACAAACTCCCTCAGAGAAAATCTGAGGGGTTGTTCTGAGAAGACAAACCACAACTCCTCATTGTTAACCATTATTCTTCTCTGAAGAAAGTGATGGACCAGCTGTGATGAGAAACAGATCCCTTCACGTTCCGCAAAATCTATGATTGGTCCCAAGAAAGAATTCTGAATCCGATTGAACTCAGTGGGACTAAGTGAATCCTTGACAACATTCAATACAAGTTTCTCTGAAGAATACTTTGATATTCTTTTCAAATTATCCACCTCATTCCCTGGGTCAATCAGTCTTTTTGGGAGAAACAGCCTCTTTGTAGGTTGACTCATTTTTCACTCTGTTGCAGGAAAGATAGAAAAACAATTAAAACATCTCCATCAAAAAGCATTCTCAAAAAAATCAAACCATTTACAACCCCTTTGTAAGCTTTTAAACTGCTTGTAAAACAGCTTTAAGAAGCTTTAAAACGCATGTAAAATTAAATCATGTAAACGAACAACTCTAGAAATGCAAATAGAGTAGTACATTGCAAACATCATTACCTACTTGGAAGCTTTGTGAAAAGTGAAAAGTCTCATCAATACTCAAACACATTCTCAAAGAATCAAACCATTTAGATCCCTTTTGAAAACCATTTAAATTGCTTGTAAAATCGATTGTAAAAGATTTTAAAACAAAGGTAAAATTAATTGAATTTCTATAGTCCTTTTAAGTCCTTGTAAGAATAAAAACGGATCTACAAAAAAAAAATCACAAAATCTCAAAAATCATCCAATGTCACAAAAACTCGATTTTGAAGGGGAAATAACCTAATTTGGCATATGAATCAAAAAAGTAACGAAGTTTTAAAGTAATTTAACCGTAAAATCGACTGATGTGACGGAACCCAAAACCCTAGGCAGATGAAATCGAAGAAGCCGAAAAGTCGAGATTGAACCTTATGAAAACGGAGAAGACGAGATTGAACCTTATGAAAACGAAGAAGCCGAGATGGAACCAAAACTGTAGAATCTAAAGCCGTGAAGCTAAGCGAAAACCCTTAATTTATTCTTCTTGTACTCAACGGAGAAGGAGACTGAGAGAATCGGTTTTTTTTCCCCCTTCTATTTTTTTTTTCTCTATCAAATGGGTTTTAAAGTGTTTTAAAGGTTTTTTCTTTTTTATTTCGGCCCAACTATTTACAACTATCTTATTCTTAGTTCGATTAAAAACAGGTTGTAAAACTATTTTAAAACACGTTATAAACTTTTAAAACACATTGTAAATCTTTGAAAAATATATTATAAAACTAAAATTACCTTGCAAAATTTTGAAAAATCTTTTAAAAACTTGAAAATACTTTGTAAAACAATTGTAAATTTAAAGAATCATGAAAAATTTGATAAAAATATAAATAAGATGGTTTTATTTTCATAAGCTTATAAATATTGTAAAAATTTTAAAAGTTCTTTCTATATATAATCATATACATTGTAAAAACATTAAAATGGTATAGATGAAGACTTAACATTGTAAAATGTTTAGATAGCTTTTAAAAATTAACATCAAAAGATAAAATGGTATAAATGAAGATTGGATGTTATAGATGCAGGTACATAGAAAAAAAAAACTTAAATTCACAACTAGAGAGTTATACAAAGTAAAATTCATGCGAAAATCACTACAGATATTCTCAGCAAAAATTAAAAATTTGTAAAACAGCAACGTTTTCTTCAAAAAGAATAGATCATTTTTCCCCAGCAATCTTTTCTTCCCAGCTCTTACAATTAGCCCCTGATCAAAGTAATAAATCAAGAAATATAAGCTTAGTTGTAGGTTTTTAATTTACATGTTAAAACCTGAGAGAAGTCTTACCTAGAAATCTGTTATTTCTGTAAAGATGTCAACCGCAAGTTTCTTTCTCATGTCTCCAATTTTTCCTTCTGAAAGTTTCTCATTTGCATTAATATGCATAGCATAGCATTCCATCATCTTCATCATGTACATCCCAGTATCTTCAATCTTTTCAGCCTAGCATCAAAAACAAAAAAAGACATATAAAAAAGGTTTTAATGAATACAATCTACAATCTCACTTATCACAAAAATTACCTGTGATATATTGTCCACTACAGATATTTTGAATGCTGAAACATCCATATCTGTTTTGTTGAGGAGCTTGTGCAATATGTACGGCATCGCAACAGAATATGCAACCACATGCATCCTTTTAACATTTTCTGAAACAAATGATGTCGCGTAATCGAGAATGATCAAAGACCTTCTCTCGATATTAATCACTACTGGAACCCAACATTTTCCTTTCAAGCACATAGGAGCATATATGTAATTTGTCTTGCTTCCAATCTCCAGCTTACTTATCTCTTCAGAACTAAACTGAAAATCATCTTTTGCGACTACAAACTCAGCATACTCATCGTCAATCGCATTTAAGAAAGATGATCCAACAAAAACAACAGTTTTGTTAAGGTACATTTCTGGATGATTTTCCCTTCTAGTTTTGATCAAGTGTAAAGCTGCATCAACATGCTAAGAAAAACACACACAAAAAGGAAAACAAATTACTCATGTTTGCTAGTCTATATGAACTTTATAATTTACAATGGTTTTTTAAAGTTTTACAAGATTAGAATACTTGAAAGAAAATCATACATACCGATCCTGATATTGGTTTCCCCTGCGTTTCTAGTGTTGTGAACCATTTGGAATCTACTTTGATTCCCCCAACTGTTAGCACCCTACAACAAATATATATATATAATTATAAGAACATCCAATGAGTCAATGTAACATCCAATGAGGCAATGTAAAATCTTTAAAATACGTTGTAAAATCATTTTAAAATACATTGTAAAAGTCAGAGATGATGTAAAACCTTTAAAATACGTTATGAATATTATTATGAGTTTTACAAACTTAAAACTCACTTGTTTTTTGTCGACTTCTTCCATTCACATAAACTTTCAAACCTTTTTGTGTCAACTTTTGCAAAGGGGTGAAGTGTTGGGTGCTTCTTCTTCTCTGCCGTGTAAGGTGGCTGAGAATAAATGGAAGGCACTTGACTTCGCTGGCTTCTTCTTGATGGACCATCAGCTTTTGATTTATTATCTACATCTTGTTGACTAGTTTTTAGTGGAACATCATTATCAGCTTTATCCCCTAATTCTTGATCACATGTTCTTGTTCCAAGATCAGCAGCAACTTTGTCAGTATTTTTGCATTTTTTTCTCTGAGGCTGCAAACAAAAAAAAACAAAAATAACACTTATAAAAACAACTTGTAAAAATTTCAAACAATGCCACGAATACTCAGTAATAAAAGACATTACAATTTGTAAAACTTGTAATGTCTTTGCTTATATATGTACAAAAGAAATGCAACAATGCATTCCTTGTGAAATTAGTTTATAAAAACGAACAGATTGTTTTACAAAATTGAATTCTTACCTGTTTTCTTGTAGGAATATCATTATAAGAATTATCCCCTTGTTTACGCTTATTTGTCTGCAGGTGAAAAAAGTAAAAAAAAAGTCCCCTGTAAGTACTTTGAATATATTTCATTATAAACATTTCATTATAAACATTTAAAACATATCTCTAAATTGACCTTCATTTTGTAAGAAATCTTCTTTTATAATATTGAATACTAACCTCTTTTCTTTCTCTGACATATCTCTTCTTTCTACAGTACTTCTTACTTTCAGAACTTTTCTTACATGCCTCATTGTTTGTTTCAGAAACTGAAATTCCTTCCTTCTCGTTATCCTGACTATCTTCAGAGATAATATTGAAATTTGGAGTAGAGAAATTTGGGGTAGGGGTTTTATCCTATAAAAGTGTTTAAAACCATAGGATTAGTACCAAAAATGATTCTCAGATAATAATGAAATTTGGAGTAGAGAAATTTAGGGTAGGGGTTTTCAAAAAGTTGTTACACTTATAAGATCTATATAAAATCTTTTTAAAACCCTTGTAAAACCCTTTAAAACCCTTTAAAACCACTTGTAAAATCCTTTAAAACCCTTTAAAACCACTTGTAAAACCCTTTAAAACCCTTTAAAACCACTTGTAAAATCCTTATAAAACCCTTGTAAAACATATTAACCCTTGTAAAATCTTTTTAAAACCCTTGTAAAACCCTTTAAAACCACTTGTAAAACCCTTTAAAACCCTTTAAAACCCTTTAAAAACCCTTGTAAAACCCTTTAAAACCCTTTAAAACCACTTGTAAAATCCTTATAAAACCCTTGTAAAACATATTAACCCTTGTAAAACCGTTTAAAACACTTTAAAACCTCTTGTAAAACCATAGGATTAGTACCAAAAATGATACTCAGATATCAAGGACTTTTTAAACAAAAGTAGATCAATATACCTTTGCTGTAGGTTCAGCTGTATCATCTTCAGAACGAATCTTCTGGCTGTTTTCATCATCTCCAGCATAGCTCCCGTCCTCTGTGTTAGGCTCACGAATGGAATCTTCAAATGTACTAGGACCACATTCATCATCTTCTTTGTTATCACCATCGACATCAATTTCACCATCTCTACTTGGACCACATTCATCACCTTCTCTGCTATCACCATCAACACCAATATCACCATCTATATTGGGACAAGCTTTGTCAGACTGCTACAGAATCAAAACAATCATATTCAGTAAACAAAAAACAATATGTAACAAAAAAGTTTGGTTCAAGAGGTGTGTGTGTGAACAGTTAAGAACTTTTTAAAAACTTTGGTTCAAGAGAGTGTTGCCCAGCTATGGATCCTATAATAATAATAATACTTAACGGATCAAAAAAAGTTTGAATACCTTTGTAAGAACTTTTTAAAAAACCTTGTAAATTATTTAAGATGAGTTAT